TTGAAACCCTCTTCCATCCTAAATAATAGGATGTGGGAAGTGGGGTTAATGAAAGCTCAAAAGGGGCCCAGCTGTAACCCTAAGTGGGTTCTCCAGCTCTCCTCCTCGAGGCCTCCTCGGCTGGATCTCCAAGGAGAACGCCGTTGCTTGGAGAAGATGCCTAGGTCTCCTCCCTCCTCACGCGGCGTGGGAGGTTCAACCTCCTCTTCGCTTGACCTCACGCCACGCGTCCTCGGGGAGCCCCCACTCCGTGTCTGGAGTCCCAGACCGCCTAGCCAGCTTTCAGACATTCAACCCAACACTCGGGTTTCCAAGCTTGTGGTCCCTTCCTTCCTTTCTTCCTTGGGAATCCTAAGAGAGACGAGCCAGCCTGAACCCTGAAAGCTGTTTATCTCATCCAAACAGCTGCTTTCTGCCCTCGGTGAGGTGGGGAAGGTTTTTTTGGGGGGTGTCACTCTGATGAAATATTATTATTTCAGCTTTTCTTTTTTTAAAAAACCTATTTTCAGGGATCATTTCAGTGCATTTGTGTATAAAGTATTTTAATTATTTTATTTTTATTTTTTTCGTTTTTAAAAAAAAAACCCGTTTGGGGTGTGGTTTGGGGCGGGGTTAAAATGAAATTTTTGAAGTTTCAAACGGATACGTCGCCTGTATATAGGACATCTTTTCCAAGTCTTCTCTACGGAATCCTTGTTTCTTGTAGAAACACATGGCTTTTATTTGGGGGTGGGGGGGGTCGTTTTGATTTTCGTTCGTTCGTTGGGGGAGCGTTCTGTTTAAAAGCATGTAAATAATTTGTTAAAAGTGACAAATAGTAGTTTGGAGTTCTTTTTAAAGAAAAAAAAAGCAGAAAAAAAAACAAAATCGCCAGCAGAAGACCTCAAACGAGAGAGTCAGCATTTTTTGGGGGGGGTGGGTGGGGTGTTTGCGCGTGTCCCAAGAGTGAAAAGCTGGCGCCGTTTTTTTACAGCTTGTGTCAAGCTATGTATAATGTAAATTCTGTACAAAAGATCTCAAAACTTTTTTGGGGGGGGGGTGTCAAATGCATCGATCAAACAAGAAGCATTAAGACGCTGAAGATTTAAAAAAAAAAGAACTGAAATGCCAAGATGAGGCTTTTTGTTTTAATTTGCCTTCCTGATAAACCTTAACGTGGGGGGAAAAAAATCTATTTATTTCAAACGAAGAAAATGTGTACAGTCTATTATTAATGGCAACCTAAAATGTATTTAAGCCGATCTGCAAGTTTTATTTTTTGTTGTTGTTATTTCTTCTTCTTCTTCTTTTTTTGCAAATTAAATTCTTCTATTTTACAATGTTCCTCCTCAGCTACCAAGCATTTGTAGAAGTGACATGGGGGGGAAAAAATAATAACATATATTCAGCCCAATGGGGCCGTGTTTTTCAGAAGAGCTTCGTTGCGCATGAGCAAACTCGGTGTGAGCTGCAGGATCACCACACCCGTCAGCCAAGAAAGCTGTGTATGGTCACAGCCAGGCTGGGGTGGGGTGGGGGTGCGGTGGGGGTCTCCCTCCCTGCAGCTGCTCAAATGAGGCAAGGGTTGGGTTGGGGTTGTGGGGGGGAGAAGCACTCTAAATTGGGGAAGGGTCTCTTGGTCTTGCAATGGAGGAGAAGACCTCCGTTCCGATTTCATGAATTCTGTAAAAAAAAAAAGACCAATTTTTAATTTGCAGTGTGGAAAAAAAAGACCTCTTTTAAAAGGAGGGGATTTTTTTTTAAAGAAAAAATGGTTTGCAGTAAACGACTTCTATTTTTTATGTTCCTTTCCATAAATAAAAAAAAGAAGAAATAAATGATTTTTTTTTAAAGGATCTCTGCTTTGGAGATTGAGGATTTTTTTAAAGGAAAATGTTCTGTTCCCTTTGTTTTTAAACAACTGTGTTAAAAAAAATAACACATTCTGTGCATCTCTAGGGTTTCTGTCATCAGTTCTTTTGTTTTGAAGAATGTGGTTTGGGTTTCCCTTTCTGGTTTTTTTTCTTTCCTTCCCCTCTTTCTTTCGCTTCGTTGTGGGTGTGTCATTCTGTAAATATTTGTTCATATTTTTTTGTGAATTGAATACTATGTACCATTGTATTATAGTAACTTTTATAAAGCAAACCTTAAATATACTGACTTTTCTTATAGAAGATCTGTGCTTGGTTTATTAAGCCTGAAAGAATGGTTCCACCACAAAACCGCGGTAGACTAAAGCGCGCTCGATGAAAGCGCGTACATGACGTCATCACAGCGCGACGAAAACAGCACGCTGTGAGCGGTAAACTTAAAATGAATGCGTAAATCTAAACCTAACCCCCCCAAACCTAACCCTAAACCTAACCCTAAACCTAACCCTTAACCTAACCCTAACGCTAACCCTTAACCTAACCCTAACCCTTAACCTAACCCTAAACCTAACCCTTACCTTTATGTGAATCGGCTTGCTTTAATTTAATTTTAATTTTAATTTAATTTATTTTTAATTTTATTTGTCACGCTGCTGATGACGTCACGTACGCGCTTTCGTCGGGCGCGCTTTAGCCTGCCGCGGTTTTGATGGGTCACGGAAAGAATACTATGCATTTTGCTTCCGGGGGGTCTTGTGGCTGGGAGATGATTGTGGGAGGGGTAGTTAACAAAACAACACCACCAAAATGGGAACTGTGCCATGCAAATCCTTGTTTTTTTTAGGTTTCAACAATATATTGACGGGCTTCTGCGATCCCCAAATTTGACATCTAAAGTAAATAAAGTAAGAACATCTCCTTGAGTTTCCCACCGTCAATTGCCTTTAGTTAGCATCCTTGATCTCATAACTCTGAAAAGGATAAGGCTGCTCCTAATTTACTCAAGGCTTACAAGTGCCATTCAAAAATTCAATGAGTGGTGGGTCTGGATTCCAGAGCATCTCCTTTGTTATAAGGAGAAAGTATTGTGAAGTTTGCTCACCAAAAATCCACGGTTCTCCTCCATCGAGCTGGCATTCCGCAACCAGAAAGCCTCCGTCTTCCTCCCTATCTTTTGTGAGAAAACGGCACACGTTGCGTTCCGCTAAAACTCCCACCAAACTTATTTCTCGAAGACATTCCCGACCTCGGCAACTTGAAGATGCTTGGACCTTCAACTCCCAGAATCCCCCCAGCCAGCCAGAATTCTGGGAGTTGAAGTCCACGCATCTTACAAGTTGCCAAGGTTGAGAAACCTTTGCTACAAAGAGGAGGAGACATCCCAGTTCTGTTTTTTCCCGCCAGGCCTTAGATGTTTGATATCAGGAGCTGTGTCATCTCTGGTTCGTTTTCCCTCCGTTGTCCCCAAAAACAGACACCGCGAGAAGCTTATTTGTGTGTGTGTGGTTTTTTTTTAATTCAACAAAAAAAAAGATCAGGCTACAATGGAAGATCGATTTGCCCATCACATTTCACTCTGAGGACATCGCATTTTAGGGCTGATGGACGTTACATGAGCTTGGATTCTCCGTCGGGGGTCAGGATGGTGAGGTTCCCTCGGGCATCTTGATCAATCTCAATAGCTTCAAACAGAGATTTGAAGTTTCCCGCTCCAAATCCCTAAATTTGGAGGAAAAAACAAAACCAGGCGTAAGTATTAATTTTTTGTTTGCTAAACCTATACACCAACCTGCCTCTGCAGATTATGAGAAGTTTCTTTTCTCCAACGTTGAGATGTTCTGTTTAGACCCAAAATGGCATTTGGCAACCCAGTTCTCCATTTCATGAGTGTACAGACCCCTCCCCAAAATAGTGAGGAAGGGAGTAAATTAAACAGTATCTGTTCAAATTAATTGAACCTGGTTTAGAATATCATCTGGCTAGATCGGTGTGTCCCAAGTTTGGCCATTTCTGGAGTATGGACGTCAACTCCCAGAATTCTTATCCGTGGCCTTATGCCAATGGAATTCTGGGAGTTGGAAGTCCACAAACTCAGAAATGGCCGAGGGTGCGCTGGGCTAGAGCAAGAGTCTCCAAACTTGGCAACTTTAAGACTTACAGACTTCATCTCCCAGGATTCTTCAGTTGAGTTGGGAAGTTGAGGTCCACAAATTCTTCCAAGTTGCCACGTTTGGGGATTCCCTGGTTCTAGAAGATCTCCAGATTGGTTTAACCAAGGAGCAGCAGGCTTCAGAAATCCCTATCACCCAACTCTCCCAAATTTGCAATTTCCTCAGGTCTTTCCACCCCTTGGTAGTGAACATTTGCTTCCGGTTTTTGGAAAGCCGACGGAAACCGGAGGAGGCTCAAGGATGACCTCACAGCATCTGCAAGACCAACTTCATCTTCAAGTTAACCTGGAAGGACGCTGCCCTGAGGAACCAACCTCATGGTTGTAGCGCTGAATGACCTCAAGGAAGACGGTCGGCCTGTCCTGAACGGGCTTGGTGAAGATCTGAAGCAGGTAGCCCTTCTCGTCAAAGTCGATTAAGATTTTGAGTTCCTTGAAAGAGAACGGCAAGAGACTGAAGGAAGTCGCCACAGACATTTGACTGACTCTATACATTTTGGTTGCATGTTGGAATGGAAACAGTTTAAAGTTTAATAACATTTATATGCCGCCCAATCCCGTAGGACTCCGGGCCGCTAACAATACAAATAAATCAAAAAGAAGAGAAGGAAAGAAAAGATAGATATAAAAACACACTATGCACTCCATTCCAAGTGGGGCTGGACCATATTTTGGGGTCAACAGCCCCAGGCCTGCCGGAACAGCCAAGTTTTAGTGGCTTTACGGAAGGCCGAGAGAGTTGGAAGGGTCCGGATCTCTGCGGGGAGATCATTCCACAGGGCCGGGGCAACTACAGAAAAAGACCTCCCCCGAATAGTCGCCAACCGGCATTGCCGGGTCGACGGTACCCGAAGG